CTGAAAAGTGAAAAATACCTTTTTTGTTTTAGTACGTCTAGTGTTAATGAACTGCTCTGTTTTGTGATCATATTTTTTACTGTTTTATTAAAACTAGTGAAAATGAATAAAATCGGGATATTAAAAAACTCATTTAGTGGTTTTTCGCTGGATCAAAAACTGCAAATTAAAGAATTAGGATGGCCAATACCCGATTTAAAAATTGAGAAACAAAGTGGTAGCGGACAAAAATCGCGCTGTCGCAAATTTAATAAAAATGTGTACGATAAAAACAGCTGGATATGTGGTTGTGAAGAAACGAATAAACTATTTTGTTTTGTATGTGTTCTATTTGGAGGTGACGAGACTTGGTCAAAAAAAGGTACAGACGATCTTATACATATATGGGATAAAATGAAGACCCACGAAAAATCTAAAGTCCATATGAATAATGTTTTTAGCTTTTCTATTCTTGGTAAATTAAATATAAGGACTCAACTCAATTCGGCTTATCGCAATGATCTAATTAAACATAATAATCAAGTGGATAAGAATCGATATGTATTGAATAAAATTATTAATTGTATAAGGTTTTGTGGAGCATTTGAGTTAGCCTTAAGGGGTCACGATGAAAAGGAAAATTCGGAAAACAGAGGCATATTTAAGGAGCTGGTGAATTTTAGCGCCGAATTAGACAACGAATTGAAAGTCCATATTAAAAGTGCCAAACTTTTCAAGGGTACCTCAAAAACAACTCAAAACGAGCTTCTTGAGTGCATGCTAGATGTTTATCATGAAGAAGTTAAGAAGGAGATTGCAAATTCTCCTTTTGTTGCAGTAATTGCCGATGAAACGACTGACGTAGCCTGTGAATTTCAGTTAGTTATTATTTTCAGATATTTGTGTAAAGGACAACCAGTTGAGAGATTTTGGAGATTTTACGTCCCCGACGCTGCATGCGTTTTAAATGTTGTAAATCCATTACTAGATCAAAATCCAAACAAATTAATAGCTCAAAGCTATGATGGTGCGTCTGTTATGAGTGGTGAATTGAATGGCGTTCAAAAAATTATTAAGGAAACTTATCCACTTGCAAATTATGTTCATTGCTATGCACACCAGTTAAATCTAATTATGACAAGCGCATGCTCTGTCAATAAGCAGGCTAGAATATTTTTCCATAATTTATCTGGATTGTGCTCTTTTTTCGACGTCTCCTCAAAGAACAAAAATTTTGGATGAAATAGTTAATTGCAGATTGCCAAGATCTTCCCAAACACGTTGGAATTTTCAGTCACGAGGTGTTCATACAGTTTATGAAAATAGGAAAGACCTGATTGAAGTTATGGACAATATAGAAAGTACTTCACGCGATTCTTCGTCGATTAATCAAGCCAGTGGGTACAAATTAAAGCTGCAAGATACAAATTTTGTATTTTGGCTAAGTATATTCCATAAAATAATGCCACATGTTGAAATTGTCTTTAACCAATTACAAAAAGTATGCACCGATTCTGTTAAGGTCAAAAATGATCTAGAGAATTTTGAAGCAGCAATTCAAACTATACGAGAACAAATGGATAGCATTATTGACGAGATTGAACGAGTGCAGAGAGAAACTGATGAACCGGCAAGAAAAAAAAGGCAAGTTGAAGAAGGCAGCAAAAAACGGGATGCGTTAGAAATATGCGATGCAGTATTATCGCAAATAAGAACAAGATTTAACTTTTCTGGACATTTAGTTGCTTCTAATTTATTTGTGTCTGAAAAGTTTTCTGTTTATAAACATAAGTTTCCTGAAGCACATTTAAATGACACATGCACACAATTTTCATTTTTAGACAAAAACAGGCTTAAAACTGAGTTACAAGTATTATATCAGAGAGAAGAATTGAGTACTACTTCTGGAGCTGTTCCACTATCCATTTTATTGAACGAGGAAGGATTAAATTGTACGTTTCAAGAAACTCTTAAGCTCTTAAGTATTTTAATCACTATACCGATGTCAACATCTGAAGCAGAACGCTCTTTTTCAATGCTGAAACGGATTAAAACTTTCCTCAGAAACACAATGAAGGAAGAAAGGCTTAGTGCTTTAGGAATGCTGTCTGCAGAAAAACATTTTGTTAGTGGCATTGAAAATTTTAATAATAAGGTAATCGAAAACTTTGCTACCAAAAAAGAAAGAAGAATGGACTTCATGTATAGAAAACTTTGAAGTTATAGGTACTTCTCCACACTTGTTTTATAATTTGGTGCGCGTGTGTAAATAGTTTTATTTTTGATTTTTTTTTGGACATATAGATTTATTGAACCTCAAGAACTTTGACCACTAACTATCAGGGGTAAGTTATAAGTTATTCTTTACAATTTTGAATCGATTCAAAATTATGGCTTCCATGCTGGCACTACCTCACTGAATTGGCACGAGCCGCCACTGGCTGGCAAAGTTGGAGGAAGATCCACATTTTTATCGAAAAATTGTGTTCAGCGACGAAGCTCATTTCTGGTTGAATGGGTATGTTAACAAGCAAAATTGCCGCATCTGGAGTGAAGACCAGCCAGAAGCATTGCAAGAGCTACCAATGCATCCCGAAAAAATCACTGTTTGGTGTGGATTATGGGCCGGTGGCATCATCGGGTACTTCTTCAAAGACGACAATGGCCGGAACGTAACTGTGAATGGCGAGCGCTACCGTGCGATGATGACAAACTTTTTTTGCCCAAAATGGAAGTGCTGGACTTGGCTGACATGTGGTTTCAACAAGACGGTGCCACATGCCACACCGCACACGAAACAATGGCCCTATTGAGAGGCGAGTTCGGTGAACAGTTTATCTCACGTTTGGGGCCCGTCAATTGGCCGCCTAGATCGTGTGATTTAACGCCGTTGGACTATTTCTTGTGGGGCCATGTTAAAGCTAATGTCTACAGGGATAAACCAGCAATGCTTGACGCACTGGAAGCCAATATTGAAGCATTTATTCGTGAGATACCGGCCGATATGTTGGAGAGAGTGTGCCAAAATTGGACCTTGCGCATGGGCCATCTAAAGCGGAGCCGCGGCCAACATTTACATGAAATAATCTTTAAACATTAAATTATATCGACCGTTCTATCGACTCAAATAAAGATGTAATCGTTTTTTCAAATTTTTTGTGTTTTTTTTTTGAAAATCAAATCCTATACCTCTTAAAAAATCACCCGTTATATATATATATATATACTAATATCAATAGCTGTTGGATAAAGATGGCGTAGAGGAATGCCTGTCTCTTTTGGTACTTGAGATATTTATTCTGCTGTTCGTGCATGCTCAAGGGACCTGTCAAACGCGCGTTGCTCAAATGATGAGCTTTTCAATTGTTGTCCAATTTTCTGCGCAAGTTTCTTGATTTTTATTTTCGTAAGAACCTTCTACGCAGTATTAGAAAACTTAAAAAAAAGATGAATGAAATCGGTAAAGTCATTTTAAAGTTATGGCGTGACCACGAGAAATAGGGATGCATTTTTGTAAATATAGACTTCTATTGAAAGTTTTGATTGATGGGTCGTCGAAAAATAATGCAAGTTTTAGGATTTACCATTTATACGTTTCCAAACGAGCTATTTGTTTATATGGAGCTATTGTCTAATGATACAGTCAATAAACATAATTTCACTTCAGCATCAGATTTCTACAATTAAGTTGCAATAATTGTCACACAAAATCACAAAACACTCGTTTTAGACAAAGGTAACTTTAGGTTAAATCACAGCTTAGAATAACAATCAGCTATGAAAATCTCCTGGCACTGTCAAAAACGGCCGCCATTTAGGCGGAGATAGTCGAATGTAAATTCACCCAGTACAACAATGAAAGAGGTTTTAGTGCTCAGCAGTAGCTGGTGTTGCCACGTACACTGCCAGCGACCGTAGATGTTATTTGCAATCGTAAAAATACTATTCCTTTATGATCTGAGGTAGTTTGTGAAACCAATAATAAAAAGAAATATGTTTGTCTAAAAAGAAGCGACGACGTATTGATGACTATTTATTTATGAAAAAGTGCTAAAATAACCTGGCCCACCGCAATCAAAGCTGACACTTCTGACGACTCCTCAGCTAGGACACGGGAGAGTCTTTAATGTGTAAGCGGTCGGTAGTTCCGATATTTTAAATAAATAGAAATGTTATAATTGGAAAATATGCCGTTCTCCACAAGGTGATTCATAATTACAAACATACATTTTTTAAATGAATCTGTTTAGAATGAGCAAAATTGTTTAGCTTTACTGATGAACAATGTTTCATAAATCTCTCATTTAAATATTCACGTGCTCTCGTTTTTTTTTGCGACAAAGACACCGAAATTCTTGTGATTGGGTAAAGGTTGTATTTGCCTGGTGTTTTTAAGCTCTGCTTACATTGAAAATGCAATGGATTGATTATATCGCAGCGCAGCAGAGTAGAATACATAGCAAACTAAATATTTGTCTGTTTATTGTGAATACTTCCACCATTACAAATTTATTTTGAAGCTTTTTCATAAATAAGTAGTCATCCGTTGCTTCTTTTTGAACAAGCATACTGCTTTTTATTAGTGATTCACACAAACTACACTAGATCATATCGCAATATTATCATTTTACAATTGCAAAGAATATTTGCGGCCGCTGGCATGAGGCATGATAAGTGGCAATACAGACTGCTGCTGAACACTAAAACCTCTATCATCGTTGTATTAGTGGAATTCACATGCGAGTTTCATAGCTGATTGTTATCGTTGTGACGCTGTGGTTAAATCATGACACGTCTAGCATGAGAAAGTCGCGCCCAGTGAGCTGATCTGCGCATGTCGAGTATTTTTTACCGATGTCCTCGAGGCGGCTCATGAATCTCAACATAGGGCCTAGGGTATGTAACCCTATCGGTCATGAACGCAGCGACAATTTAACTCCAGTCTCCGATGAACGTATAGTTGTTGATGTTATGAACGCACCCCAGTACATTAACAGTGATACCAAACATCCAAGCATAAAGGCTGATTGACACATTTGTGACATGACCATGACAATCCTAAAATTCAAATTTCAAATCACTCAAATTCTGTTTGATCAATATTTCACAAAACGAAAATGGAAAGCGTTTTACTGCCTAGTGAAATTGATATTTTCATAGATAATATGACACCCCAAAAACTGAAAGATATTGCAACACCCCAGTAAGTACTTTTTATTAAATTATTAATAAAATAAGTGACTATAGTCGTTTCTTTTCAGATGGCTCGACTGGCATCAAAGACTACAGAGACTTAATCAGGAAGCTCTTATAGAGGTGTCAGCTCTCAAAGAAGAACATGTGAAGGAAACATTAGTCACTTATGGCAAAGTATAGTGATATTCATTACATTTATGCATGCCTACGTCAATATTTCTATTACAACCTTTATAAAAATCAATTTTTTTTGGACCATTTCAAAATATGTCGCGTGATTTTAACAATGACTAATCAAGTCCCGCACTAACAGATTATCTTCTTCTTTGCTCTTTCCTTTCCTTCTCCCTTTTCCTCTTCCTTTTTTCCTTAACATTGTTTGCTTTCTTGTTCTGATCTGACAGTATTACGCAAGAGCTAAGTTTTTAAGAACTGCTCTCACAACCAACGATGACTTGACTTGTCATTTCCGTTTTCCTTTATCGTGAAGATTGCTTATTGGTTTCAAGATGAAATCTATTTAGCATATCGCAGACCTTTTTTTCTTTTGCCGATACTCTGTATGAGCACAAAACATACCCCTATTTAATTTTTACTGCCAAATATCCTGCACACTTCCATAAGTCAAGTAAACAAATGTCTACCGGGCGGGTACTATCAAAGTAAGTTACGAGTAAACCCCCGAAGATTGAGACACCGCGCTTATACCCTATTTCACGAGTATCCATCACGGTAGAATGACAGCTCCCCATATCGGCACAGGACCCATAATTCTGTCAGATCCGTCAACGACAGGTAGTCAGAGCCGTATTTTGTTTTGGGTTTTCTTACGCTACAGATTCATTTTGTATTTGCTAACAGCTCTTTTTTTATTTAGAAAAGTTCATTTGCATACCAAAAACAAAACGCCACAAACCAGTTTTAGTAGATTTATACCCGATTCATTATTGCCAACGTTGCAGACTAACAAAAAAATGCCACTTGCTGATCAGCTGTTCACCTCAAAGCGTGAAAGATACTCGTGATACGGTGAGGTTCAAATTTGGCTTATATCGTAATGAGTACGAGAGGAAAGCGTGCAATATGTTGTATGTTAGAAAGAGTGCACCGATGGCAACGCGGCAAACCGCAGCTGCGTCCGTGGTATCGCCACTCGGGTTGCTAGGCATCGAGGTGCTTCTCTATTTTTCTAACACACGTATTGCATGCTCCTCTCTCGTATACATTACGACTCAGTGGTATATGGATTTCACTCTATATACTGACACAAAAATTACCATTTTTTACTATCAGCTGCTTTTAGGTCAAAGTACTGACTCATGAAGCAATACTCATAAGCATTTGGAAGCAGAAGGTTCTGCCACAGCTGCTCAAACTAGAATCTTCCCCAGAAAGCACATTCATCGGATACTCTATCTTATACCATGAAGCAGTATGTGTGGCTCTGCTGGAACTTGTCTTATATCATCCCAGTTGTTGCGACACTCTCGAGGACTCTGCTTGTGACTTGCTGGACTATGCGTATGGAGCCGCATCTCAGTTGTTGTCTATTAAGCAAATTGAACCCGCAGCACAGGAAAATACTGTGACGGAACTAATGCGGCAGAGGAACAACCTTTCGTTCGATATTGGAATTCGTACATTGGCAATCATTCGTTATTTGACTGAGAATTTTGATAGGTATTGAGTGTTCCGCAATAAATTGACCACTCTTTTATATTATTTTCGAGAAAGTTATATACAAAAGGTATTGAGTCTTAGGCCAGTATCGTCAGTCGTCCCTACAATTGTAGGGCGCCTTTATCGCCTCCTTGATTGTCATACTCCTTTCTCCCCTTCAAAAATTTCTAGATTACACTTGTACCGTGTCAGCGTCAGCGCTCTCCTATTGTGAAGATATGTTTTCCTTTTAAATTGTAGGAAATTTCAGGCTGATAAAACATGATATAACTCAAAAGCAAGCACAATTTGATGCAAATAGATGTTTGTGACATAACCTCAAAATAGAGCACTGACATGGAAAAATAGAAAACTATGACAATCAAGGAGGCCATAAAGGCGCCCTACAATTGTAGGGACGACTGACGATACGGGCCTTATTTAACATTTTTCCAGAAACGTGCTAATGAATAAAGTTGTATTTTTTAATGATATACCCTATATATTCTTAGTTAAGATAATAATAGCTTTTTCCTGATTCCAAATATGTATGGTTTGTTATAGTACTTATTTCCGTTATTACATTAGTCATACGCTTAAATTGTATGTGCAATTTAGTAAAATCTATCTGGCCTTATACCATACTGCATATCCTACAAGACGCAAACTGCTTTGGCGTCTGATACATATCAATAAATGACTCACAAGTTTTAAGTTTGTTATCAAACTAATGAAAATAGTATGACAAAAACCATATACACTGAAAACCAAATACCACTGACGTCGTAATGTGTACGAGAGAGAAGCGCGAGACGCAATACGTGTTAGAAAGATAGAAGTACCTCGTTGCCTAGCAACCCGAGTACGAGGTCACTCATGCGATCGGCGCACTTTTCATAACATACATATTGCACGCTTTTCTCTCGTACACGTTACGACGTCAGCCAAATTTGAACATCACTGTATATTTGGAATCAGAACAAAAACGGCTACCCATTTTCATTAAAAATATACAGAGGGTGATCCATTCAAAAATATACCTCTTTATTTGGTAGCACTTAGCAGATTTCATATTAGACCCTACAGCTTTTGTATTAGACTTTTTATCTAAACGGCCATGCAAAAGAGTTAAAGTAGGGTTCAATACGTGATGACGATGGATTTGTGTAATGTACAAAAGTCTTGTTCCATACTTAAATGGATTGACCACATTTATTCTGATCAAACCTTGAAGTTACCGACAAATCTCGACGTATTTATGTTGTTGGAGTAAAAGCATTGATTAACATATTCCTGAAGACCAAACCCAACATGGTCATACCTGTGCAAAAATAAGCATTCATATACCTGTCAATGTCGATCACCGTCTGAAGGTGTCAGTATAGGCTTTTACCTTTTCCTCGTTGAAAAATTTTGAGAATACGAGCCCTTGGGGATAACTGTGAAGGGGGATGAGGGGTGACCTTTCCTTGGAAGGTTGATGTCATGTTTGAGAATAAGCAATATTCCCTAATAAGAAAATGGTGTTTGTTCTTATTAAGAGAATTGCTGACAACCTATTTGGTAGCATGACTGTTACGATGGAAGTCGTAAATGAACGTTCAAATACCACATACCAAATAAGGCCTATGGTGACTGACACTAAATTATACCAATAATGCAGTGTCAATCAGGACTGATATTACAAACATACCTTTAGCTTGTTATTTAGCGGTGTCATGAGTTGAATGCTAAGTTATATTGCAGGTTTGCATCGAAAGAAATATTTATATCCTTGAGTTTCATAGGCTGGCGTTCAAAGTGTTAACCAATGTGAAATGAAATAATTTTTGATAAAGACCTACGATTCATTATCTCACTATTTCTTTCAAATAAATGATGCAACATTGTAATTCTGGAATCACCATGAGTCTTTGACAACCAAAGTAACAATTTTTGACGCATCACTTCACGATTCCTTCGATCTAAGAAAGTTCTCCCTGATCTCTCACTCGAACTAGAAAACTGTCTGATAGGACCTGATCGGCCTATAACCAAGACCAACGGTCCTACTGACCGTTCTGACGGAATGCCGAACAGAAAAGTCCAACTCTCAAGAGTATTCTAGACGTTGACCAAAGTATTATATATAAAATATAGTGGATCACACTGTAATACGATCAGTCAGCCCTAGGTTTAACCACACTTCGGACATATCAAATATTGCAGACTGCCATTCAGCATTACCAGCCAAGTATACACGACCTACGACATTCCAGTGCTTTTCACAGAGATTCTGTGTATTGCCCCATGGATAAAAGATGGAAAGATGTACTCGGGTGGGACGTGGAAAATTTGGGACAACGAACAACTGGGACAAGCCGAGGCACAGGTGAGTATCTTCCAAATTTTATCCTGATGGTTGTAAGTTTCTTTTTGTAATAAAGTTTACCTGTTACTTAACAGATGGAGTGTTGGAGATGATAACATATGTAACAAGTTATTTACATATTTAGTACACAGGCTGGAACATTTCAAGTAGGGTATTAGCACTACCACTTCTGGTAAATACTAGGTCTGTAAATTAAGTGATAAAGAGTTCTCTTGAGATGATTTTTCAACTTCGAGAAGAGAAAAAAGTCACAAAGACTCAAGACAAGTGAATAAGAAGGCTGAGGAGCCACAGGAATATTTTTACTGACCAAAAACTCGTTTATTGGCATTGCTGTGTGACAAGGAGCATTATCGTGATTCAACACCCAGTTGTTCTTGATCTGATGCACGGTGGTGTGTCAAATTTAAATCTTCCCCGATCATTCTGACTGTCTGAACGCACAAGATCTTGAATTCTGTCGATATTTTCATCGGTTCTTAAAAATGAAGGCCTTCCGCTTCATGGTTCATCTTCAAACAACTCTCTCATATGCAAATGCCTTAATCCATTGAAAAACCTGGGCTCTTAACACTATCCCTGCAGTCCTGCTGAAGTTTAGCAAGAGTTTCCATTGCGCTGTGCCCAAGTCTGATGCAAAACCTGATAGCTCACCGTTGCTCGAAATTCATGTCATTCTTTTTTAGAATACAATAGGAAAAACTGTCTCACAAAAAATTGCTAAGGGACAACCAAATTGACTCGGGTGAGTTCAAATTTGTACTAAAGCTAGATCACATGTTCTCCTGTCTCCCCTACAAGCCCGGCGCCTCCGGTGTTGCCAGATCGAACGCTACGTTGCCAGTAGTCTCATCACTTAATTTACAGACCTCGTATTTGCCATTAATTTGTAGCCAGATGTCAGAAGACCAATATCATTCAGATGAATCTCAATAATGATGCTGTGTACAATTGGTTGTATAAACGGAACACAAAACTGAGCCTATTAACGCTCTGAAATACAGATTATTTCTGATTTTAGGTATGGCTCACCTTAAGACAACTATTACTAGACCCAGAATGTTCAAAAAGGTATCACCTCACAGAGAGCAGACGCAATCAACTGGCGAAACTCTTACCCTTGATGAGACCCACACTGCTTGACCAGCTGTCCCCACTTATAGAGCTGAATCACTGGTTGTGTCGTGTTGGGGTAATGGAACAGTCTGTACCCAGCTCAGGGCCATTGCTTTTGGAAACAGTTCTAGGTTTGAAAGAGAATATCCTGAAAGAATGTGGAGGAAAATGGAAGAAAATAGCCGAAAAGCAGTTACCATTGGTGTTTAACCATGACAAACAGTTATTACAGGAAGTAGCCAAAAAGTATGTAATCTCAATATTAAGAGAAATAATACAAAGTTTTAATTGGTTTTAACCAATCGGCAGAGAAAGCAGATTATATATTGAATGACATAGAAAATGCTAGGAGTGCTTTAATTTTGAGCATACTTTTACAAGTTTTAGGTCTACTGATAAATAGAAAGTGATTAAAATTTTAAATCAAAATTTCACAAAATAGTATCCCACCTTAATGTTAATGATGTGTTGAAGCTCCTCTGTTAGCTACAGATTCGTTAAGTCGTCGTGGCATTGATTGGATTAGGTGATTGATGTTTTCTTGGTGTATTGTATCCCAAGTCATCTGAATTTGGTTCAGTAGAGCCTTCAATGTTTGTGGAGGGTGCGGTGAATTTTGAAACCTTCTTTCCATCATTTCCCATACATGTTCGATGGCGGAAAGGTCTGGAGATCGAGGAGGCCACTGAATCAGATTTACTCCGGACGCTTCTAAAAAGTCTAAACTGACACGTGCGACATGAGGTCGTGCATTGTTCTAGTGAAAAAATGGATCTTGCAATGTTTCCAAAAAGGGAAGCAGATGTGGCTGTAAAACTTTGTAGGTATAGCACTGGGCAGTCGTGCTACCTCGAATGAATACTAATCGTAACCTGCTGCTGTAAGCAATGGCATCTCATACTATAACACCCACAGTGCGATGAATATGCCGTACGATGGAATATTGGACGTCCGCCTTTCACCACATCTTCTCCTTACTCTTGCACGGCCATCATGTGTGCCCAAACAGAATCTGGACTCTCGCAGAACACGACCGAGTTCCATTCCATATTCCATTCAAGTCTCTCCCTACTCCATACCAATCGTTTCCGACGATGCTGTGGGGTCAGAGGTAGTACAAGATGGGGACGGTATGAAAACAGTTCAAAAGACCTTATTCGGCGATAAACTGTTCTTATTGTTATTGCTTTTCCGACAGTATCAAACCACTGGTTCGCAACTGCCCTTGTTGTGGAAAATTGATCTCTAAGTGCTAGTTGCCTCAAATAACGATCCTGCCGCTCTGTCTTTGACGTCCAATACCTCTAACTTGTCGATTTCGGCCTTCTTGGAAACACCCTAGACAACATCTGATTATAGTAGCTTCGTTTCGATTCATCCGTTTAGTGATTTCTCTAATAGAAAATCCGGCTTCACGTAACCCGATTATCCGACCTCTCTCACACTAATAAAGTTGAGTGAAATTAGCGCGTCTGCGAACTGATAATGCAATGAAACAAATGGAACCAATACAGTAAAATCACTGAATATTAAGTTTCATATTGTTCGGATACTGGTATGACAAAAAAGCCTTTACAAAAAAGTACGGCTCGGCATGCCTTTAACGTTTTATCAGCGTATACTTTCATGATAGCAAATACGTTTACAAATGCTTATCAGAATTCAATAAATAATTTTGGGTGTTGAATTTTATGTCACTTAGTATATTTGAATGGAATAAAAGTTCAAGTGATTCGCAACATTATTTTTGCCAATTTCAGAAGTTCCTGACCGATAATGAATGAAAATTGTAATCATAACAAATGACCTTTTTCTTTAACTCAGCAAAACTTAAGTAGATTTTAATTTTCATATGTCATGTATTACCTCTGCACATTAAGCCCTTTATGCCCGACTTTATTGTTTGATAACACAAATCCAATCATCGCAGAAACACATTTTTACTTCGCTCTATACAGAATAATATCACTACAGTTAAAATAAGTTCTTTCCTTATAAAAAATGATGTGTATCATATATGATACTACAGGCACTAAGCTAGTTGCATTCATAATACAAACATTCTCAAATATGAGAACGCTTGAATCAGTTTTTGGCCTTTCCTCAGATGAAGATGAACGTTACATTCATCACATTTCATAAATGAAAGCTGGTTGCATAGAGGAAATTTACAGCACAATCGTACCTCGGCTACTGGTGGGTGATGCGCTTTTTGGTCTCGTCTTAAGTCAAATGCTGGTATTTGTTTAATGTGTACCGCTTAGCCAAATAAATTTTCATCATTCCTTGGTTTTCTCCTCCTGCTAGAAAGGTCTTTTTCTAGCCTACATAAACTGATGCACCACTTGTTGACAAAGGCAAAGAGAGAAACCTCAACGGTACCATCAAGACACTCTTCTAACTCCTACATTGATCAGATAATTTGACAGGTGTTAACCAAAGTCCGAAAAGCATCGATCGACGTCTATATAAGTTTGATGCAACGCTGTAATACTACGCCGACGGCGGATGGGGACATTCGTCAGCGGGCGATGAGTCACAAAGAGCTCGGAACGCGATCATCCAGTCGACACAGTTATAAATTTGTCACAAATTAGTTGCATTAGTGTAGAGGCTTTGAACAGTAAAAACGGTGTTTTTCTTACAGTATTTACCTTTTAGGTTTTTTCGTATGGTTTGTTGAATCTAAAATGCGCAATGTTTTACTTCGCCGTCTTAAAGCCAAACTGTTGTGTCTTATATCATTTCCTCACAAGACAACATGGTTTCAATTAGCCGGTGTTGCAGTAACAGTTTTGGGTGGGTTTTCGCGTTTCCGGGACGATGGATGAGAATAAATTGAAAAACAACAAACATCATAGTCCCTTGTCGCTTTTGGAGGCTGGTCGTCCTTATGTGAGCGGGAATACCTACTCCAGGCGGTCCTGGGCTTTGCGCGGTGCAATCTCGGTATGCTACAGGACCCTTCAGACTGTTGTAGAATCACACTATATAGGAATGTAAAAAAAGCAAACGAACTGTCACCTAGAAGACAAAATGTCATCAGAATTGGCATTTGTACTTGAAAAAAACCATTGTGGTGACCAAAACGTCGTGGCAGTAATATGAGCATGAAAACAACAGGATAAGTTTTAGGCGTCACATCAACTGGATAGGCATAAAATAAAACTTCTGGATTAATCAAAAAGAATACTCAAATAGAAAAAAGTATTTCATTAGAGACAATTAAATTAATCTAAATATCACCTGGCATATTCCATTATTTGAGTTCAGTGGACAATTTTTGTCTTCATGCTAACACCAAACATTTTTATTAGTTATTAGAGACCTAATTTACTGATACATCAACTGAATTAATATTTTTTTTAGATTGAGTGTTGCTTACAACACAGAGTTGTTGGAAAAACTTGAAGTCAAAGATCAAGCGACTTGTGCACAATGTGGAAAAGGTGCAATACAAAGATGCTCAAAATGCAAAAAGTCTTGGTATTGTTCTAGAGCATGTCAAGTGACTCATTGGCCACAACATAAAGAGGAGTGCAAATGTTGATATTTAATAATTTTTGTTGTTTTGAGATGTGTTGATTATTTGAATAAAACGCGAAATATTTAGTTTTTTTTTTATATTACATAAAAATTAACAAGGTCTACTTAGCATTCTTAAGATAATCTTTAAGAATATCTAATGCTGGCGATTCCTCTCCATAATCCTGGAAAAAAATAAGTAAAATTACTACATAGTCAGTAAATCAGTGTTTTATTTAAAAATATCGATTTGAATATATCAGATGGCGATTTTCAGCATAAAAACATACATTTGGGTAACCTCAGAAGAGGGAGCCGCCAAATACTCATCATGTTTATTATCAGATTTGAGTTCTTATATTCTTTAAAACTTGCTTGGAACATGCTACTTCGTACGCCTACTGGCGGGAAGTATTGTAATCGCGAAAATTTTCGAAAATGATACGTGTCTGACCGCAAATCATTCTATAACTTGGAGGAAAATGAGGGTCAAAAAATTGGGGGGTCGGGGTGAGGGAGAGTATCGCATTTTTTGATGTTAGTATGTTGATACACTTCTACCACCGGTAATAGGCTATTTGACAGTATTGAAAATAAGTTGCGAATTGTGGTCATCCTATTAGATAGTAGAATAAGAAAACACATAGTACTTTAATGTACACCTAAATATGTATATTTTTTGGGAAATAATCAAATAAAAATCAGCTATTTTTAAAAATTCGATGGGTCACAGAAACGCCCTGCGATTGGCTGCGACTCTGGTGACGTCACATGCATGTAAACAAACATCGCGTTGTACGTTTTTGCTGGCTTTCTGTGAGATATTCTATCATAATTCTATTTCATAAACAGATTTTTATTACTTTCTTGATCAATCTTTCAACTATTGACATCATTATTCGTTGTGGACTTCAAAATGGACCTAAATTTTGTGCAAGCTGATAACAGCAATCTACCTAAGGTTGACGCATTAATGGTAGCATTTTTCTTCAAAAATAATGCGGACTACTATGCTGCGGAACTCAAACATGTGAAAACAACAATGTAAGTAGTAATAGAAAGTATTTATTTATACCTACTAACCTTTATGTATGATCATTAAAAGATTTGTAAAATCAATCTTATTTTAGGTTATGTTAATGTAATGAAAAAAGCTTTCAGTTCAATATGATAATATGGTTCATATATGGTTTCATGAATAAAACATACTTTCATGTTTTGCTTTTGTTTTACAGGTCTGGAAGGGAATCCTACGGAGACGATGCAATTGGCTATGTGCAGCTGCACCGGGAGCATGGACTTTGCACACTTAAGTGCAAAATGTGCCCAGAGCACAAAGTGAGATCAAAAGCTTATAATGTGACAATGGTTATCAACGAAAATGAAAGCGAGATAATAAGTTGTCAGTGCCATGACTGTGCTGCTTCAGCAGGAGGATGCAAGCATGCAGTCGCTTTTTTGATGTGGGTACATCGGCGCAGTGAGGAACCTCCATCTACTTCGGTGGAATGTTATTGGAAAAAGCCAACATTGTCAAGAGTAGGGACTACTCTGAAGTACATCACTGTGCAGCAGATGTCGAAAAAGGAAGTACCACACAGACCAAGTACATCAGCACTTTACACAGACTTTGTTTTGGAAGCCAAAAAAAGAAAACTTCAACACTGCGAATTGATAAAATATCAGGACGATTTTAAACACTCAAATGTTATGCGGTATTCGCTGCACTGTTTCATAATGGACCAACCACCAAAAATTCAAGCAGACGTAGACAATCTTGTAGACATAATGAAGACAACATTCAACAGAGCTGCTATCAGTGCAATTGAAGAAGCAACAAGAATGCAGTACAAGAGCAGCTTGTGGTATGAGATAAGGTATGGCCGTATCACAGCTTCAAAGGCACATGAAGTGAGCGTATGTCATACACCTGATGGTTCATTGGTTGCTACTATAATGGGCGCAAAAATACCAGATACTATTGCAATGAAAAGAGGTAGAAGTTTGGAGCTATCTGTCCGGAAGACAGTTAGTACAACATTGAACAAAAAAATCAGAACATGTGGACTTTATGTATGCCAAGACAATCCTATGCTTGCAGCATCTCCTGATGGTTTATTGAAAGATGCCATTGTTGAAATAAAATGCCCTACCAAAGCAAAAGCTAAGAACAATTATTTAAAAAATGGAATTATTTCAGAGAAATGTAAGGCACAGGTTCAATTACAGATGCATGCAACTGGTATGAAAAAATGTTATTTTTGTGTTGCTGATAGCAACTTTGAAGAAACAAAAAATGTAGATATTATTCTAGTGAAGTACGAAGATGATTATGTCAACAACTTAATAAAAAACTTGTATATTTTTTGGAAAAAAAATATATATCCTATTTTGTATCGTAGCACTAGTCTGTGATTATCAAATAAAAAACTATGCAGTGCATATTTCTTGTTTTATTATCATTTTATTCATGGTTTTACATCATTTATTTCTTTATTTAGAGTAGTAGTAGTAGAAGTATTTATTCAGCCAAGTACAAAACACAAAGTTCAAATGGTATGTCACAAAAGAGGAGATTACATGATAATAATTAAGTATAAAGTATCATAACAGGCAAAAACCCATTATTTAATAAGAGAATCTTGCAAATTTATTAGAGCACATGCAATTATAATGACATGATCAAGTACACGACGTATGTTAGTATTTATCACTGAATGTTGCTTTAAAATATGAAATTCTCTCAAACGCCTTATTACCCTTTCAATATGAATCCGCAAACTAGCTATTATTTTAGTTTGTCGAACTTCAGTTTTTGACAACTTTGCACCAGCATTTACACTGGGTGGCCTTAATAGTTTTAGTCCCTTTTCATGAAGTATTTGTTCAAGGTGTTTGAAGCCTCTGTCAGCTAAGCAACAGGATCCTTGGGGTAATCCATCTAGAAAGTTACAATTTTCTACTATTGTGGCATCGCTGGTTCTGCCCCCAAACCCATGCGAAACATAATTAACTAAACCATTAGGAGTGCAGGATACTAAATACTTCACAGTATTCCCCTTTTTGTACTCTGACCACGTCAATGACTGATGAAGAGCCTTTGATGGTTTTTGTATATCAATCTCTAAACAATCTATGATGCAACTGACATTATGATAGTTATGTCTAAATGAAATAGGAAGATTTTTTTTTACCAATTTTTTATCTATAGTTACAATGAATGGTCTTAAAACACTAGCTATTATTGGTATATTTTGTAGAAACAATTTACTAGCATAAGATAATGATATTCCAAAATTATCCTCCAGTTCAGAAAATGTACTGTTCATTCTAATCTTTTTCAAGCATAGCAAAATGTGTTCTACTTTTATGCTTGTGTGTTTATGTAACAATTTGATTAAGAAATAACATTCTTTTGGAATACCAACATACATCATTGGTTTTTTAGAGATTGAACGCATAGTTATTTTGAGGCACTCTAATTTTTCAATATTCTCATTGGCATCTGTAACATTACTATCAGAGTCGGTAAGCCCTGATGATGATGATGCTGATTTAGTTACAAAAGGTGATAAATGACGACCACTTTCAATACAGGAAATATCACTATCTGACTTTTCATCTTCAAGAAAAACATTTCTCTTGACTGCTTTGACAATTTCAGACTGTGATGGTCGAAGACTGCATGGTTTAATCTTAAAGGGCGAAGTGGAACGAGATGTTGTAGAAACTTTCATTGGTGAGGTAGAAATACTTGTAGTCTGGCATCTTGTTTGCACAGATTTGCTCCTATGATGCACATTCTCTTTTATTGTTACTTGCACAGATTTTTCTGCAGTTATGATAGAGTTGGTAATAGTTTCTCTGTCTTGAGTTCTTGATAAACCTGAAAGAACAAAGACTCAAAATTAATGTCTTAATTTCAATGTAAATGATTATGTTAAGGCACTATGAAAAGTTGTCTACTACTTCCTACTACCATTATCACTGAAGAAAAAGTGCAGTGCTGGATAAGGGGTAGTGAATCACAACATCAACAGCTTGAGAGAAAATTACCCATTACCTGAAGTACAAGTTGAGCATTCTTGATCACCTAGCAAGTAAAATGTCCCACTAAAATCACACACACACAAATCACTTTGAATATATCAATTTTAAACCATAAATATTATTCTGTGAAAATCTAAATGTGCTACAAATATGTTATTCAGTTCTGCCCTTTTTATTCAGAAATAATGGAAGAAGTAGTAGACAAGTTTTTATAAGCCCTCAAATAGGTTACAAAAATGTCTATCAGCTCTTAGACTATAATTTATGATAGGACACATGTAATAGATTACATACCTTGAGGTTCAATAATGTCTTGTATCAAACTCTCATCTTTTTGTAAGCTTTCAGCTTGGGCTTCAGTAGCATTTTGACTTTGCAAACATGTGTTGACCAAATCCATTCTTTTCCTCTTGACATATGCTCCTCGAGAAAGTCCAGCATCAGACAGTGGTCTTTTACGATCTTCTTGACAATGAAATTTTGTTGGCACAGCATCTTCTGTCAAAAGTATCTTCTTGCTGAAACCCATTTTGTACTGCATGTAGTTAATGGTGTCTTTTTCCATCTGCAATTCAACATAACTATCACTATCTAATAAGCAAAGTAGGTAAAATGACACAGCATAGAAAATTATTGAGATATGTAGGTAGCTAATATAATCAAAACAACAGAAAACATTTTGTAACCCTACAGAGTAATAAGTTTAGGGTTAATAAACAGGATCTTTGATCCTCAACACTGACTTATCCTCAACATAACCAAAGATACATTTGAGGTTATAGATAGTTATATATTATTTCAATCTTAAAAAAAGCGGTAATTTAAGCTACCTAGTAGATAACATATTCAATTTATACTTACATCGAAGTGATCTTCACACATAAATACATTTGAAGTCGATGAAATGCCCTTTGGGTCTCTCCGAGCTAATAGTAACCACTTTTTTCGTCTTTTACAATCGGTTGGAACAGAAACAAACAATGTTTGTGGACTATTTATAGACGTATTCGTACATTTTGGCACTACACACCATTTATAGACCATTTTATCTATGATTTTATAGCAAAACCAAGCACAATAATGAAATTAACTTCGGCTGACAGCTCGTGATCGTGTTTAATGGCGTGTGACGTCA